TCACAGAACTCTAATAGCCCCCAGACCTGGTAGACCTGGCTTATTGTGAAAATCACCTGAGCTGGGTTTTATATTGTTCTAACATTTGCTGAGCTCCAAACTCCCTCCCAGAAACATCACTGACGTCGGTCTCTGCTGAGGCAATTAATCAGAACTGGTATGATTCTGATTTGCCTTCTTTGGGAGCCAGTGCCTCTGAGGACTGAAGCCAGAAGGATTATGAACCCATTCTATCCAGGGTCACCCAGTTGGTCAGTGGCAAAATCCATGTAGACTCCTGTCTCCAGGACAGAATTCAAGAGCCATGGCCTGACATTTGCCAAGCAGAGCAGTGTGAGTCTCTGTTAAAATAAGAGGGGGAAGGAACAGTGTGTCACTGAAGCTGGCAAACCCAGGTCCTGTCACAGCAGCCAGGAGTCTGTCGGTGTACCGACTCGCTAACGAGCTTTCAAGAAAGCAGGAAACCTCACTTCTATGTCCGCCCGTGTCAACCTCCCTTAACTCACATTTCATCCCCCTCTACTTTCTGGACTCCTACTGTGTTGAATACTATGTAGAAAGAGAGATCAAAATCTACCGGGAAGAAAGACATAGAAAAGATCGCCAGCAGCATGATATATTCTTGCCATTTTCAGTGTTTGGTAAGATCCAAAATGGAACAGGTACCTCAAAAAGTTAAACATAGAGTTACCACAGGACCCAGCAATTTGACTCCTAGATTTTTACCCAAGAGAACTGAAAACATCTCCATGTAGACACTTGCACATGAACAGTCACAGCAGCATTATTCATAATAGCCAAAAAAAATAGATACAACCCAAATGTCCATCAACTGGTGAATGGATAAACAGGATGTGGTACGTCCATTCAATGGAATATTATTCAGCCACAAAAAGGAGTGAAGTACTGATACACACTACAGCATGGATGAAGCCAGGGGAGACTATGTTAAGTTTAAGAAGCCAGACACAAAAGGTCATATAGTATATGATTCCATGTATGTGAAAAGGCCAGAATAGGCAAATCTGTAGAGACAGAAAGTAGCTTAGTGATTGCCAGGGGCTGGGGAGAGAAGGGAATGAGGAGTGACTTCTAATGTGTCTAGGGTGATGACAGCATTCTGCAGTTCAGGATGAATTAATGAGGCAAGAGACCAAAGCAAAGTTTGGGGAGCACCTGCTATAGGATCAGCCCTGTGCTAGAGGCGGCAGGGAACAGGAGAAAAACCAGCAAGTCTTTTCTCCAGCTCTCAAGGGATATAAGAAGGAAACCTTGCATTTCTCTAGCAATTCACAGTTGGACATAGCTTTTGCTTTTTTATTAACCCATTGATCTTTGAAATAATTCTTGAGATTAGCAGAACCATTGTCATTAGCTCCTTTTACAGAGAGAGAAACTGAGGCTCAGAGACGTTCAGTCACATGCCCTGGGCTCTTCCTAAGTGGCAGGTAGGAAGAAGCCATATGTCCAACGCACAGGTCATCCTGGGATGGCCACTGTCTTGTTGAGGAAACCCAGTGGAGACACCGAGAACAAGTAAATACACAAAGATACAGTGCAGTGCGAACATATGACAGCCAAAGCAGGCATTCCATTATTACCAACAAACACGTCATTAGTGCCTGGTCGTGCTCTGTCAGCCACACCAGGTGTGTGACGTGTGTTTCCTTTGGCTCTTCCCATGGCTGAACTTTCCACTGCTAAGCGGGGGATCAGGAAGGGAGAGTCTGTGCAGAATTTCTGAACCTGGATATTAGACTCAGACCTGGGCTCAAATCCCCCCTCCACTATTTGCCAAAATGAGCTTGGACTCCACTTGTTGGAGTTTCAGGCCCCTGACCTACCAAATGAGGACCGCACACCTTCGCTGTCTATTCTGCAAGAACATATACAAAGCACAGAATGTGTGCCTAGCCCAGCGGGGTGGGTGCTCAGTAAGTAAAGCAGACTTTTGTTCAAGGTTTACAGATGGGAATTAGCATTCACGGGGCACAGACGATGTTCCAGTACCTTCATGTGTTCTTAATCCTTAATACCCCCATTTTATAGATGAGGAAACTGAAGCCCAGGGAACTTGGCTCTCCCAAGGTCACACAGCTCTCATGTGGGATAATGTCACGGTTCAGATTTGGGTCTGGCTCTGGAAGTCACTGCTGTTTCACTCTGCCACACAGCCTACAGTGACATCAGAACTGGGTGTGACAGAGTGCTCACCCTTGTGGAGTCTGAATCACAGACCCAGATGACGATGGGTGTCAGAGCAGCCCTGGAGTGAGCTGGAAGCTTCACTCTGCCGGCAGGACTCCGGTCTGGATCCGGACTCGTGTGGCCTCACGTACGAACTGCTAGGCCTCCAGGCCGTTCCTCCCTCCTTCTCTCTCCCCTCCTACTGCTTTGAAGGATTTTTAGATCAAAGGTGCAGCTGCTGTCCGGGGGGGATAATCCTGTTGCCTGTAACCTTGTTTTCCGAGTGTCCTTCAGTAAAGAAGGGCTTCAGCAAAAAAATGTCTCCCTCAGCCCAATCGCACCATTTTTTCTTTTCCTTAAGCCTTCCCCAGCCCTCAGGATAGAAAGGTAGACGTCTGCCTTCGGAAGCATCTTTCCACTGAGGAGCAGCCCGGAATGAATTAGCTCGTCCTCAGAAAGCGTTAGATCCGCTGCTTCCACATCCTCATCTTCTGCCTTCCCGTCCTTTCCTCCCCAAATGCTGCCTCCCTTTTTCTTGCTGAGGGCTGCTGCCTTTTTTTGTATCTGCCCACTCCTGGGGGCAGGCACATCTCTGCACCCAGGAAATGCTTCCTCCGGGTAAGAACAGGTAAGAGTCTAAGACCCAGACGTGATGAGCACGTAGAGGACGGAGCCAAAAATACTTCCAATCACCCCAGGGAAGCAGAGACTCAGCGGACGCAGAAGGACTGAAGGTAACAAGAGGAGACCTAGGAGACTAAGGCAGAAATAACCACCAAGTACCGGGGAGGGAGCCCGGAGCTGTGCCGGGGTCGCGGGGGCTCTGGGAAGGGTGGCTCGCCAGATTACGTTCCTGCTGGATGGAATTTCTAAAGGCCCCTTGACAGGCCCCCGAGACGCCTTCTCTCCGGGGAAGTTTGTCTGCCTTTGCAAACGTTACCAGCTTCCTGTTTCTTCCCTGTTATTTCCAGGGCTTTGGAGGAGCCACCAAGTGTCCAGGGGGAGAGGGACTTGAACACTTTCAAGGTTCTTTAAAGGCATGTGGACCCTACCTTGACCTTTTCCTTTTTGCCAGTCTTCTTTCCTGCAGAGAGCAATTTTAAGGGAAATTACATTCCTTTTCTTTTTCTTTTTTTTTCCCACTTAATTTGGCCTAAAAAAAAACCACTTTCCCTCAGCTGGTGGTTCTCTGCCAAGGTAGAGTGTAATGTCTAGCAGGACCCCTTTTCAAAATGGGAGGTCATCTGAAAATGTTCTTCTGTCCTGGCATCGGGTTTTCCTGAAACCGTCCCGCCCCCTGATGCTAACACACACACACACACACACACACACACAACACACACACACACACACACACCCCTCTGTCCCCACAACTCAAACGCTATCAGATTTTTTGGCCCTATTGAAACCTACAGGATCAAAAACTCTGGGAATGGAGCCCAGAGATTCTCTAATTACCTGGAGAGCTTATTAAAACGCACATTCCTGGCCTCCACGCCCAGAGGTTTTGAGTTAGCAGTCCTGTGATGGGGCCGGAGAATTCGCACTGAAGGATGTCAGACTCCCAGGTGGTGCCGATGCTACCGGCCCAATGAGTAGCCCTGGTGTCAGGAGCTTCCTGCTGCCTCCCAGGAGCAGATGTCTCCTGTGAGCTAATTGGTGAACAGTATGTAAAGATCACTGCAGGACCAGGATGGACAGGGGAGGAGGTGTAGTTGAAAAGAGGAAAGAGAAGGGAAAGAGATGCTGGCGTGGGAAACTGTGCTTGGAGCAGAGACCTGTCCTTCCTTCATCGGAGCTTTTCTTTCTTGCGATTTCCATTTCCCTGTTAGTAACCCACTCATGAATGCCTTCTGATCAAGACCCACTAAGGGTTTCTCGGGGGCCTCATAAAAATGATGACACAAGACCTGGCCCAACAACAGTATTAAGAGAATGGCACCCAGGACCCAAGGTCAGACCGCAGGACCCAAGGATCTGGGGGGAGAAACACCCTGCGTCCAGAAAGACTGAGAGGATTTTTTTGCCTCCCTGCTTGGCGCTGACCCTGTCCACAGCGTGTGCGTTTGCCCAGGTCTCAGACTTCAGCAGGCACCAGTTAAACAGGGAGGACCCCTGGCCCCATCTCCAGAGTCTCTGATTCGATAGATCTGCAGGGAGCACGGGGTGGCCTGAGAATCTGCATTTTTAATAAGCTCCTGGTTGGTGATAGGATCCTGCTTGCTCAGGGGCCCCCGCGCTCGAACCACTGCTGCGGGCAGTGCAGCTCCGCGCCAGTGCCGGAAGTCCCTCAGAGTCACCCAAGAACACTCCCGGGAAAGGTAAGTGGCCTCCAGCCCGGCACGAATGGGCAGGGAAGCACCCCAACCTCGCTCTGTCTGTACCAGCGGCTTCAGAAACAGGAGCCAGGCACGGCCACGGCCACGTCCGGATCGTGCCTTTGGTGAGACTCACTCTGAGATGTTACGTACCTTCTTGCCCAGAAATCGCTGCTACTCTATTACATCTGGAAGTCCGTCCCTCACTCTGACATCACATGTGTCATGATTTGGGTTATAGAAGTTTTGGCATGTCATACCGTTTGCCAGGAGACGTGGCGTTCGTTGGGCCTCTTCCGAGAGCCGTCCCAGAAATGCTTTCCGCCGTGTGACCAGCCTTCATCCTGCGGAGGGTGGTGTTGAGGAAGACGTGCCACCTGTTTTACTGTGTTGTTTCTCTCTTCCCCCACGTCCGTCCACCCTCCTTCCACGCCTCCTTGCCCTCTGCTCCCCGCCCTCCCCTCCCCTCCCCTCCCCCCCTCCCCCCGACTCCAGTGCATTCTCAGAAGCAGAACAGACAGACCTGCGTCCGGAAGAGCCTGATCTGCGCCTTCGCCATGGCCTTCATCATAAGCGTCATGCTGATTGCGGCCAACCAGATCCTCCGGAGCGGCATGGAGTAGCCGCGCCCCCAGCAGCCGCGCCCCCAGCAGCCGAGCTCCCGGCTCACGCGCATGTGCTTGCCCCGCGGGCAGACTCTTCCTCCGCGAAAGCAGACACGGACGGTGCAGTCGCGGCACCGGCAGGCGGGGGCGGCAGCGAACCCGAGGTTGCAGTGCAACCCGTGTTGTTGCAAACCCACTTCCTCCCCTTGGCACGTACACAAAAGGGCTGTCTTCAGTGCTTTAATGGTCTTGTTTCCTAATGCAATAAATAGCCAGGAGTTCCGGATGACTGCTTCAACCCCTCGGTAGGAACTCGAAAGAGAGACTTCATTTCCATCTTGGAACTCCAGTGGCCATCCAGGTCGGTGGTGTGAGAGCAAGAGAGAGGCTGAACACACAGCCACCTCCACGCCCCATTCTTTCAACCCAGGGGTCAACTGGGGACTCCCCCTCACCCCCACACCCACCCCAGGGCAACCCTTAGTTCCAAGAGGCTGACTTCCGGGTTGCTGCAGAAATGGGGGCTTCCCATCCCGCCCTGACTTCCTTCCCCCACCCAGTGGAGCCCCCCCAAGGCATGAGGGGAAAGCCATTGCACGGGGTGCAGCGCCTGGCGGTTTGCAAGTTGCACCCCCTTCGCTTCGTTCTTACTGCCTTTTCTACAGGACTCTTGTTGGCAGAGTTGGGGAGCTCTCGGTTTCCGTCGGCACTTGGCTTTCTGTTCCTCAAGCCCATCACGCACCAGCATTTTGGAATCTGCAGAGAGCCTTTCTCCCAGCTTTGCCGCCTTGCTGCCATTAGACAAAAAAGAAGTATAACCGTGGGCATCTCTATAACACAGACACACAGACTGACGTATATTCTGGGCTTCTTCATATGTGACGTCAATCTCCCCTAATCGCTTTATTGCTATTAGAAGCTTGTCCTCCAGCGCGCATCCCTGCCTCCTTTGGGTGTAGACTGGGGATGAGGAGGGACTGGGGCTGATGGTGAGGAGGTGTTGCAAGCCACGCCCCTGTGGTCCAGAGTAATGGAGTCCAGACTCATGTCCACGCCAGGAGACCTCTGTGAGTCAAGGTCCTTGTGCATCATACCTTTTTCTCATCTTAACATTTGCTTTGTTAGTTAGTCTTCCCCAAGATCGAAAGAGAAACACAGTCCCCACGGGAAAGATGGAAAGATCAGACCGCTGTATTTTACATAACATCTTCCGGCAGTCGGATCCTGCAACTGACTCATTTTCACGAGGAAACAAAAAGATGTGAATAAGCTTAGCCGACTCGACAGGTAAAATACTTCTGTTGGGGAAGGGAACCGAAGCCAACACCATTTCAAGTCTTGATTCCCCGACTTTTCCTCGATTCTCTGTCAGCCGCGGCTGTTAATGCAAGCTTGCGTAGTCTGATTCACTGATAACCTTTCGCTGTAATATTTCCCTCTGTGCGTCGCCAAGCTCAGGTCTTTATTTCTATAATGGAATTGTCTGGCTCCTCTTTCCACTGCATCCTAAAGCTCCAGGCTTTCCCCCTCTCCCTTGTCCCTGTCCGTTCAGTGCTGAGGGGCTGGAATCCTTCCTCTCTGACAGCAGCCGCTTTGGGGTGTAGTGTGTGTTTCTGAACCCCTCCTCAAGCCTCCCCTCCCTCCCTGCCCTGCCTTCTAGCCTTCTCAGCCTTGGAGCATCCAAGGTCTCAGCTTGGGGGGGTCTACTTCCACATCCCCTCTGCAAACGCTTCTAGAAACTCCCTCAACTCAAATATTCACAATGAGCACAAGTAAAACTAGGGTTTGAGCCATAGTGCAGAGGAGGGGCAGGTACGAGCTCCCGGGGTGGGGTGGGGGGAGGGGCAGGGAGCGTCCCTCTGAAAATGCCTGGGAAGACATAGCCAGGCCACGTAAGGCAACAGCCTGCCCACCCTGCCAGGCTCTGCCCGTCTGCCTCTTCCCCGCTCCCCTCACCCGACTCACCGCTGCCCCTCAGGACCCAGCTCCTGAACGAGAATGGTCCAAGTGCAGAACACGGACACACAGGACAACTTCATCTTTCATTTCTGCCCGAAGCAGTTTGCTCTCTCTTTCCACTGCACTTGGGTGGAAGGGACACCATGAACGACCAGGCCCTGTCCTCCTGGGGAAGGGGGGAAGGGCCCAAGCAGACTGGATAGAGACCCCAGGGATGGTTCTTAAAGGATCCTGACCCCTGAGGGGGATTGCAGTTCTGGGCAGGAAAATGAGTACCTCTTCGAAGGCTGCTTTGCAAGTTCTTCCACCTCCCGCTGGAGAACAGGGGCCCTGAAGGATGTGAGGGCTGGACGTCACTGGAAGAGATATTAGCCCCTCTGCAAGGGTGCAAATTGAAAGGCATTCTGGAGAGGCACCAGCAGCCTGTTCCCTACCAAGTCCTCAGCATCGTCTCCCTAAAGAGGGCCCTTTCCTTTCCCCCAGGGACGGGGAAGTGCGTTCATCCTGCCAGGAGAAGGTCTAGGAGAAGGCATCCCTTGTGGGTGTTGCCAGGGAGAGAGGGCGAGAAAGAAGCCATAGAATGCTCCGTGATGGGTTCAAAGTTAACTTCCTACCGTGGTAACCTCATGTGTGGCGCCAGGAGCTCGGTGTGTGGGGACGTTCCAGAGCGAGAGGCAGCCTGTAGACTCTGGGCGCTAAGAGCTTGCTCCCCGGCAGCTTTGCCTGGGCGGTCTGTCAGCGGTGTCGGGCTTCTCTGTAAGGCCTAAGATGCTGGCTTCCCACGGCCCCACCCCAAGTCCTGTCCATACCAGTGCTACTCCACGGCCCCACGCCAGTAACCCCCAGACTTACCATGCGCATGGATAAGGACTGTAGAAGGTCGTGGTGCCCACCTCCGAGGTGTGCCATGTGGCCCCAGCCGGAGGTGACCTCCACAGGAACTGAGAAGGAGGAGCCCAAATCTCACTCTGTCCTCCCAGCGAGTAGATAGGAGTCTGTTATGGGCTGGCTGAGTGACTGGTGGGTGAACCAAGCTTGGCTCGTTCTTGCCCCCTCCGACCACAAAAGTGATCACCAGGGAGACATTTTGCCTGGGAGCCGAGGGATGTGGACCCCGATCCCCTTGGCCCCCAAAGAAGGGGTCTCCCATCACTCCCAGAGCCCCCAAAGGGGTCCCAGCATGGGAACTATTAGCCCGTGGCTTCCAGAATGTGCGTGGGTCCCACACGACCAATCTGTAATTAAAAAAAAAAAGGTGTTGCCACGGCAACCCTCGCATTCCACCCTGAGTTTGCCATGGCACACAGAAATAGGGAATGTTTCCTTAAAGAACAAACACTCGGGTTCTGCCTGATTGCATCCTGACTTCCTGAATCCATGTCCCACTGGTGGGAGAAATTACCCTCAAAGGATCCAGTGGTTTCTCTGTCTTTTCCTCTTCTGTTTAAACCTGTCCTTCCATTTGCTCTGGAGAATAGGAGCTGCCTGTGAGCCGGGAGGTGCCCTCCCCTCTGCCCAGAGCCCCGAGCAAAGACCCCTTAATCTGGGCAAAAAGGCAGAGATGCCATCTGAAAGACAAAAAATATTTTAAGCCTCAGTCTTTAAAAGCATCTGTTTGCCTGTCGAGACACTCTCCCACAAGCCAGAAACGTGAACTAAAGTGAACCGAGGTTTACATGCGGTCTTCGGCAAGCCCAGTGGTTTCAGAAGTTTCTAGGTGTTTTATTTGCAGAGAACAAGATGTGTACGGCGGGCCTTCTTTCCTGATACCTGCTTCCTGTCTCAATTTTCACATGACAAATAGTCCACTCTCTGCGGCTAGCCAAAAGGACCTAATGAAAGATGGCAAACTCATTTTGACAATAATGCCCCATCCCAACCTCCCATCCACGGAATCACAAAGTGATGTATCTAAGAACTGGGAGAGGGAAATTTATCTTTTATTCCAAATGCCGTCTCTAGGCTTAAGTCCAGGCTCAGGTCATCAATCAAAGAGAGTTTTGCTCTTAACCCATAGCTAGCAGACTCCCAGGGACCAGATGAAGCCATGACCAGAGAAGTAAGGTGTGACCGCCAAGCGCAGCTGCGTGGCTTGGCTGGCGTGGCCGTGTGTGGCTGGGAAGCCCTGTTCCGCTCTGCTGTTGCCTCCCATCCCTGCGGAAGCCGCTGAGTCCTGCTCCTTCCAGCTGGAGGTCTCAGACCATACTGGGTCATTTTACTGCACTGACTGTTTTTCCAATAGCCCGTCATGATCATTTTATTCATCCTGTTCCCCTGAGAGAGACAGAAGGTCTGGAACCCCACTGCAAAGAGGAGGGCCCCCTTTTTCTAGCCCGCCATGACGATACAGATGGACGGAGCTTAAACTCCTGGACGCTGGCATGTGCCGGCTGTGTGACCAGGAGGGCGGCAGAGTGGCCTTCCCTGGAGAGCATCTGTCTGGAAGGACCACAGATCAGAGATTTCTCGTTGGGCTCCTCTGTGATCCTCACGGGGCTAAGAGTCCAGAACCTAACGGCCTCGCCATGGCCATCTTCCCCTAGAAGGGGGAAAAAAATCTATCAGAAACAGGAAAGAAACATTATTCACCAGCTAGGATTTTCAGTTTGAATTCTTGAAGGCTATGGCAGAGAAAGGAGAATTTGGGCTGCCTCTGACGGACTTGGTCTCCACGACAAGTTAAATGTCAGACCTGTTCAGCTTCCCTTGACTAAGTCACTCCAGGGGCTGTCCTCGGTTATGTGGCCTTGTCGTAGATGCTTGGTCTGGAGGGAAAAGGTCAGAACACACAAACCAGCCAAGCCTTTCTCTTAATAGCCTATGCTTCATGCTAAGTCCATGGTCATGTCAACCGCTGTCGTTTCTCCTGAATATTCGTTTGGGACCCTTTTTATAAGGTCTCAAGAGACATGATAACAATGCTCACAAAGTCCTGGAGGCAAAATTAGATTGATTCAGTTGGCTTGAAATATAGTCACGAAGAATCAGGTTTTCCCAACCCCACAAAGGCAGTCTTCTGAAACTGAGAAAAGTTGCCCTGGGTCCCGCCCCGGCTCCTCCTTTGGGAAGTTTATCCGTTGAACACACCCTCGTGTGTATCCCACCCCGCCGTGCTGGGCATACCTTCCTCGAGCGTGATGGATTGGCTTTCAAACTGGTGCTTCTCGCATTGTCTGACATTATTGTCCAAATGAAATGGATGCAGAGGCTGGAATTTTCCCAGGGAGTAGAGCAGCAGGATAATTAGGGAGGAATATTCCAGGGAATGCAAAATTCAAGTGTGATGTTGCTCCAGCCCTGGGCCTGAGAGAGGGAAAGAGAGTTTGTAAAGGGCTGTGGAGGCTGACCTCTGAGCATCTTCCCTGTATGTCTGGTCCACTCTGGGAGCACACGGGGGCTGGAGGGCCAGGGGGCTGCTGCCCGTCAGCCTGTTCCCATGATGCACGCTGGGAACTTCAAGAGGAGGCTCACGTTTCCTCGGGGGATGCTGACATCTGCCAAGCCCAAAATGCCTTTCCCAGGCTGGGCTCAGACCTGTCGAACTGAGGCTAGGAGACAGGAGCTTAGACCTGGACATGTAAGCAGTGCTGTGAGCGAGGAAGGGCACGGGAGGCAGGACCCCCACCAGCCAGATATGTCCGAGTGACTTCCCTTCCTTTCCCCAGGTTTCTCATCTCTAAAGCAAGAAGAAAGGTAAACCGGATGGCCCAGAAGAGCCCTCCTTTCGTGACTCTGAAACGAATCAGAGTGAACGCCTACATTTGCGAGGGTTCCTGTGTCCGCTGTGAAGTGCACCAGGGACTGGCAGTTTCTTATTTTAAAACAAGTCACAAGGGGCAGTTGTAATAAA